GGGAGCAGACGTAAGGGCCGATGCGGTGGTGGCCTCCAGCCGAGGATGGGGTTTCTTTCTCTTGCAGTTCCTGACAGAGCTTACCAGACTCTTTCAAAAGTGCAGAACTTCGGGGAGCGTTTTCATAACGCTGAAGAAATGTAAGTCTTAAGTTTGCTACCGGAGTAAAGAAGCGTTCATCTAAATCAAACTTGCAGTGTTGTTACCGTGTATTTTAAAAGATGCAGTCGTAATTCAGTGTGTCTGAAAACAAGAGTAGTCGTATGGACAAATCAGTCATCTCAGCTGCAGTACTAATAACCTTGAAGTAAGACTGTATTTCAAACTGCAGGAAATGTTGGGACTTTCTAATTATTAAACAATAACTGGAAATCCTTAGATTTCTATAAAAGGAGAATTACAGTGTTGCTTTTGTGTGTTTGTGTTTCTCTGTTTTTTGGCTAGCTGGTGCTACTTGAGAAGTCGTGTCCTAGCCTGCAGTTTGACATGCCTTTAAAACATACTGCTGCTGAAGCAGGCAGTTCATACAGCATGTCAGGGGAAGGCTTTACGTTTTCTTCCTGGGCAGCTGTAGTTATGGAACAGATCCTTCCGGGGTTACAGCGGAAAGGGTCTGTCAACAATTTGGCAGCCACGTCAGTTCAGATAGCCTTAAATTCCAAGGTGTTTCACAGATCTCCTCGCGGGCAGTTTTTAATATCTCATGTCAGGAGACATCTGGTGATTTTAGTGAATAAACATTCTCTGTCTTCCAATGCAGATGATGGCCGAACAAAACCAGTCCCACGCAAAGGCCACGTAGAAAGTTTTGAACCAGCAGACAATAAGTGTCTTCTAAGAGCAACTGATGGAAAGAAAAAAATTAGCACAGTGGTAAGTGACAACTTTGGGTTAGAAAGATTAGTGGCCCTACTTGTCTTTTATTTAATTTTTATTTAATATTTTAAGTAAAATTTGTCTTTACATGAATTTCATGAGAGCTACCGTCTTCATTCCAGAGAAATCATATGGTAGGTGAAGCTGGGATGCCGAAGCGTTACACTTACGTGAAGTCTTAATGCTTACGCTCGGCATTACAGATGGGACAGTACTTTACAGTTTTGCTCTGTATGCTGGATTTTGCTTCAGAGCGGTATTGCAGGACAGCAGAAAGGGACCCTGCCTGTTTCTGGCAACCTTGGCTGTTGTGTTTTGAGTTGGGTGAAATTGTTTGGAGGGAAGGGAAAATCTGCTTCTGGAGACGTGGGGAGAAGAACCCAGGGCAGATACGAGGACAAATGGTGTGGCTCCAAGGAGAAGAGAGGTCCTGCATACCTAACAGTTTGTCAGGTGACAGAGAAAGACGTTGTTTCCTATAGACCTCAATGCCATTACTAAATGTTCTTACAACCCCGGAACGAACTGAATGTTCTCAGACTGTGCAACAGTAGGAAGGGGATCCGTGTTTCCTGGCAAGAACGTGTGTGCATGGGTAGACTCTTCTAAGCCTTTGAGCTATTTGTATTACAGGAAACATTAACTAGAAGTTGAAAACCTGATGTGTGTTTACTTTGAATGAGAGATTAGGAAAGGCTTTAGCTGGCTTCAGCTCTCCTCTGTGATGTAACCCAAGGAAAAATGTTACTTTGAGAAACAGTTGAGAGAATCTGGGCTGCAATGTATTTTTGTGGCCCTACAAGTAAATAAAACATTTCTTCGTGTTCTTCCCATTTGAAAACGCGTGGATTTGGGATGAATGGCCTCCAGGGAATTTTGTTAATCAAGTAAAGAGTGTTCAGTTTTCGGTGAAGTCCTATGACGTGTCAGTACAGCCTGCCCACCACTGAATGTGATGAGTTGATCCAACTGCTGCTAGAAAGACTAAGTTGGCACTGATGGGTAAACACTTACTGATACTTGGTTTTGTAATAGAAGCCACTGTCTTCTTGGTTAACCTCCAGCATTGCTTTTGTAGGTGAGCTCAAAGGAAGTAAATAAATTCCAGATGGTAAGTTTTGTCTGCCTTTTATCTTCCTTTTCTCTAGGTATTGGGGCGTGGTCAGCAGGAAGCACTGGACAGCTGTGAATGAGTTGATTCAGTGCTGAACTGCCATACAGATTAACCTTAGGCTACCTATCTATCTGCATTTGTTTAAAAAAAAAAAAAATACTAGTGTAGGGTGGAAGAGCATGATTCTCTGAGAAAAATGCAGATACCTATCCATTAGCAATATGTAAAATGTTACCTCTAATGTGTTACTTAAGTACTTATTCTTTTAATTGTTCCAATTGTTTCAGGCATATTCAAATTTGCTGAGAGCCAACATGGATGGCTTGAAGAAAAAAGACAAGAAAAGCAAAACCAAGAAGAGTAAAGCAACACAGTGACGGAACAGCGTCCTACCATCACTGTAACAGACTTGACCCTTGCTCAAAGCAAAGTCCATTTCTTTTTGAATTACCACTTGTCTTTGGCTTTCCTTCCAGCAGGATACTGGGGTGCGATCGGTACTTTTGTTTAAACTGGGAGCAGAAGGTGCTTTCTATGGATTGTTGTATGGCAGGAGTATTTACAGGCTTATACTGAAATAGCTTTACACTCGGCTGCCAACTAGTTGTGTACTTCCACTGCTGTTTGTTTTGTATTATACAAGCGGGCAGTGTAAAACCTGTTTGGGAGGGTCACACAGGGTGAAGAAGAGAAATGCACCATACCAGGAGCAAAATAAGACTGGAGCAGGCGTCTCAGTGACAGATGCCCAGTTTTATAGGTAAACCTCAGTAGTACTAGGGAAAGTGGGTGCCAACACATTATTAAGAACAGCAGCTTTCCTGTTTCTGTCTTATTTTGAGGGACATGTCTACATGATGCAGTGCAGATACCCCTACGGCAGCCAGCACAGTGCTTGAGCTGTTGCAGAGTCAGGCAGCTGTGCCTGTGCTCTGTGCTGATCCAGCTGTGCTGAGCCTGGTTCAGGGTGGGGGGAGGGCAGGACTCTGCATCATGTTCCCTTCAGACATGGCTTAAAAATGCTCATGTCATCTAAAGTTTTTTTTAAAGCTTCATCCTTCAGTATATTCTTAAAGTAGCTCCTTCGTATGAGCAGATGTAAAAGGTGAACACTTAATTGTTACTATTAAACACAATGAGAAATGATTTGGTTGTAATGACTGACGTGACTTGTCTTAGTGAATCGCTAGGAACAGTATGGTTATCTGTGCCTTTAGGACTGACTCCTCTGATGCTGCTTTGTGTGTTGCTGTTAAACTTCCACAGTTCTCAGAAGTTCTTGGGTTTGTCTTTAAAGTTACCTCTTTACAGATTTTAACTTTGCCCTCTTTACTATAAGAAAAGGGCAGAAAAAGTATTTCTTAATGCAGCAAGCCTGCAGTACTAAAGGCAATCATTTGAGTTAGAGAAAGAAACAGAAGTAAGCTGTTTAAATAGAAGGTACCAGGTGGGGAAGAAGGGTAAACACTAGTCTGTTTCTAGAAATCCCTCACTCTTCTGCATATTCACTCCAGTATTATAAGTAGTTTGATGTGAAATGCAATGCAGAGTTAACTATGGCTGCTGTACCTCATTGTATTGGGTTTACGTGGCAAGGTTTTGGTAGCAGGGGGGGCTACAGGGGTGGCTTTTGTGGGAAGCTGGTAGACGCTTCCCTCATGTCTGGCAGACCAATGCCAGCCGGCTCCAAAACAGACCTGCCGCTGGCCAAGGCTGAGCCCATCAGTGATGGTAGTGCCTGTGGGATAACGTAGTTAAGAAGGGAAGGAAAAAAAACCTAGCGGCAGCTTTTGCAGCCAGAGGAGTGAGAAGATGTGAGAAACTTTGCAGACATCAAGGTCAGTGCAGAAGGAGGGGGAGGAGGTGCTTCAAAAGCTGGAGCAGCGATTCCCCTGCAGCCTGTGAAGACCAGGGCGAGACAGGCTGTCCCCCTGCAGCCATGAAGGATGATGTGGAGCAGAGATTTCACCTGCAGCCCATGGAGGACCCCACGCCGGAGCAGATGGAGACACCTGAAGCAGGCTGTGACCCAATGGGAAGTCCACACTGGAGCAGGACCTGTGGCCCTGTGGAGAGAGGAGCCCAGGCTGGAGCAGTCTGCTCCTGAAGGTCTGCACCCCATGGAAGGGACCCACGCTGGAGCCATTGGTGAAGAACTGCAGCCCGTGGGAAGGACTCACATTGGAGAAGTTTGTGGAAGACTGTCTCCTGTGAGAGGGACCCCACACTGGAGCAGGGGAAGAGAGTGAGGAGTCCTCCCCCGAGGAGGAAGGAGCAGCAGAGTCAACATGTGATGAACTGACCACAACCCCCATTTCCTGTCCCCCTGTGCTGCTGGCAGGGGGAGGAGGGAGAGAATTTGGGAGGATTGTTGAGCCCAGGAAGTAAGGGAGGTGTTTTTAAGTTTTGGGTTTATTTCTCATTGCTCTACTCTGTTTTCTCAGTAATAAGTTAGATTAATTCTTTTTTTCTAAGTTGAGTCTGTTTTGCCCATGACGGTGAGTGATCTCTCCCTGTCCTTACCTCGACCCAGGAGTCTTTCATTATATTTTCTCTCCCCTGTCCTGCTGAGGAGGGGAGTGACAGAGCAACTTTGGTGGGCACCTGGCCTCCAGCCAGGGTCAACCCACCACACTCATCTTCAGATTTGCTCAACTTTACTTTTCCTGATGGGGTTGTGTTAGCAGTTTTGCTTCAAGAAGATCATTACAAGATTTCCATCATTATTGTGGCTTTAACTTCAAGCTTAATCTGTCTTAGGTCCTTCAGGTCTGAAACAAGTTTTTCCTGTATCAGGTTTTACTTCACCTCCCAGGAAGCTGCTGCTTGATTTGAATGCAACAGTACAGGCAGAGCAAGCACAGGCAGCCAAGCTTGCAACTCTCTCAGCTTAAAAATCTGTCTTTTATACAGAAATTAAAACAGTAGGCTTAAAAAAACCCTCAAAAAACCCGAACAAACCACAAAAAGCTTGTAATACATATTTCCAGAAGGCTCAGTAGCCAAACCTTTTATTACATAAAAACCCTTCTTCAAAAAAGTTTAAAACAGTTAGAGTTGAAGATAACTCATTCTCTCTAATCCTTGAACTGAGTTTCTCATTTCAGTACTACTGTTGCACATTGACATAAAAGGCATTCTGAAACTGTATTTTTTTTTTTAAAAAAAGTAGTTTTACACCAGACAGCTGATAATATCTTTTGTGGCATAAGGGGCAAGAATTACATGGTAATTTGTATCTGTGGCTGTAGTCAGACTTGCTCCTAAATTGCCTATAAAACATTTATTTCCACTTTTTGATGTAAATTTACAATTTTATATTACACATGAAATTCAATCTGGACACATAAAAAGGCAGTAGTTGCCTGTCTTGCATTATTACAGCTTTTTAAAATTCCTTTTGACAAAACACTGTTGTCTTAGTAAAAGCATCCCATAAAAGATGCTTTAAGCACTAAAACAAAACCTTGTATTCATCTCGGTAACTGTACAGGATAAGCGCAGGAACCCTGCGGAGGGAAGGAAAAGAGAGAATTTTTAAACTTTGAAACTGCAGATCCAAAAAGCTACACTACCTGTATAAGCCAATAGCAAAGATGGAGTAGAAAAGGAGTAAGTCTTAGTTCCTTTGGCTATGACTGAAATTTTCTCCTTCGTTCTCTTTCCATTTATCTAGCCTGTTTAGTTTTCATTCAGCGATCTGAAGGCATACAGCTAAGCACTGTTCTGTGTGTGAGCATCAAATGGGAAAGGAAGACTTCAGCAGGGACTGTGTTACGTTGCATAGGATATTATTCATATGTAGTAATTGGGTTCTGTTGCTCACAGTCTTGCAAGCCACAGGAAGAAGAAGAAAAAAGTTTCACTTGATATTTCATTCTTTTAGTAAACATCAGCAGCAATGAAGCAATTTTGGTGCATCTCTAAGAAAAAGGAATCCAAGTCAATTTTTAGTTTCATTTAAAGGTTAAGTAGTACCTTCAGGCTGAACATAGGTTTAAAAAAATGTATTATAAATGAAACCCGCAATAGGACATAAATACCCAGGTCATGCTTAACTGTACCACTATATGCAAGAGTTGAGAATTAGAAGCTTAAAACTGGATGTGCCCGGAGTGTTTCTGTTTTGCCAGAATCCAACAAGGAGACTATGAGTTGAACATAAATGTTTCTACACTTAGAAACAGGCTTTAATGTACATGTTGGGAGAGCAGGCATCATGTTCACTTAAAGCTGGGCAGTCTTGTCAGCTGTGCCAGATTCCCATTCCTTCAAAGCAGGAGGAATTAAATGTGTTCATGAGTTTTAAAAGGCAAGCTGTGTCCCTCCCATGAGAAAAGAGACTGACTATGTAGTAGAATAGCAGTATACCTGAATGTATATAATATAGAGTTGTTTGCTATTCAATTTTATGAACAAAGCAGCAAGTGAGATAACAGTGGGAAACACATTTTTTAATTTCTTGAAAAGGCTTATAAAAATGAAGAATTTACGTGGCAAAGAATTTACATTTTACCACAACTGAGGATTAGACAACCAGTAAACTCTTCCCATAGCACTCAAGGGACTACACACATTTCCTGAATGTTTCTTTTTTCCTCAGGGAGAGGGAAAGGGAAGACAAATTAAGAGCAGCTTATTTAGTAAAGTTTGAATGCAGAAAATACTTGAGATGTTTTCTGTACAACGTAAGAACTTAATAAGTTTACCTCTTTTCCATTTTGATACTGTAAATTTCATCACAAATTGCTTGTAAGTATGAACATCTCTGTTTTGGCCATCGTGACATCAGTTGTCTCACAGTAGCATCAAAGGCGTGTCTATCTCTATCAAACTAAGAAAAATTGACAAGGAACTATGATCTAGTTTTACATTCTCTTGTGAAGGAAATACTCTCATTGTGTAATGTCAATGCTCCTTAATTAAACAGGGTGCAAACAAACTTCATATGAACAACATGTGCCACGATTTAAAATTTTTTTTTTTTTTTAAGAAACCGATGACTGAATTCTTACTACATTTTCTTAACACAGATAGTTTAACGATAAAGAGGCATACACAATGAAATCCAGTTTTGCAATGCTGGACAGAATATGAGAACTGTGGCGTAACTGTGGTCAAAAGTGAATGATGCAAGCTGATCATGTGCACTTTTTTTTTTTCCCCCAAAGTAAAAGGTGATAAACTATCTCCATGATTTGGATAGAGTGTGTGAACTAAGTATTTTGAAAATATTTTCAAGTGTTTCACTGAGGTCTGATTACCAGAGCAGCACTGCTTCAGAGCAGCAGATGTAAAGTATGAAAGTACTAAATCCACTTCCAGGCAGGATGCCATTCTGGAGTTTTTTTGGAGGCTGGGGAAGCATCCCCCTCTCTGGTTAAAACTTCTGACTTTAAAGATATTGCTGGCATTGGAGGAAAGAAAAGAGCTTTGTCGAGCAGTTTCTGAGTTAAAGGTATCAACATAATACTTATACATCCCCTTTTTATCTTGGCTTCACTAAGAGATGTTTCAGCTACTGTACTCAAAACAACTGCCTCTGTATTTTGGGTCTTTCATTAACAGCTTCAAGAAACACCTTCATTGAAACTGCTATTAATACTTATTGATTTCTGAAAATAAGCAGTAAGACAATCTCAGTTAACTGTTCATGGGGGAAAAAAACCCCACAAACCACAACAGAGCTTCCTAATGATGTCTTGTATAATGGACATTTGACAAAAGGATTTTTCTAGCCTCAGTTAAGCTCCTTAGGTAAAAAAATCCTTTCGAGTTTTAAAGCCTAATTCAAACTCCTTGAAGGACAAAAACTACAATGGTGAATTTTACATTCCACTTAATTAGGAACAGATTTATCATCTATTACTCAATTAAGAGTTTTAACACCAATACTTAATTGCTTACCTCTAATGATAAGAAGTGTATCACAGTTGCTTTTGGCA